AAATAAATAAATATTATATAATATATTCAAAAATAGTTATTAAAGAAGAAATTTCAATTGCTTTGTGGATTTGATAGATCATCCATAGAAATATAATATATTCAATCATTGTGATCAAATGATAAAATATAATTAATTAATTATCTTTTTTAATTATAAAAATATAAAAATAAAAAAAAATAATTATTAAATAAGAAATTTCAATTGGTTTGTGGATATGATAGATCATCCATAGAATTATAATATATTCAATTGTTGTGATCAAATAATAAAATATAATTAATTATTATTTATTTTTAATTGTAAAAATATAAAAAATAAAAAAATACTAAAGAAGAAATTTCAATTACTCTATGGATATGATAGATTAATCCATAGACCTAAGACATATTTAGTCTTTATAGGCAGAGAAAAATTACATTTTCAAAATTTTTATTAATTTATATTTTCCCCAAATATTTTTATGAAATTTCCATAAATTTATTAATAACACAAAAAAAATTATAATTTTGAATGTATCAACATAAATTTAAACATTCAAGAAAAAATGAAATCACAAGATATTATAAAAAATTGAAAAGACTTCTTATTTTGCCATATTTTTTCAAAATTTGAAAAATTAACGATTCACACTTGTTTCTTGCAAATTTTTGCAAATCTAGCACTTTAGGAATGAGGTTTAGAGTTTTAAAGTCATTTGGAGGGATAAAAGAAAGGTTATTTTAAGGAAAAGAATATTGTTTTTCCCCTTTATTTTTTTTCTTTTTTCAGTTTTGGTTGTATCTTTTTCGTCAATAATACCCCGATACAGTCTAATACAGGTCCAATACGCATGAAAAAACAAAACAAGACATCCAATTTTCATGTGTATCCGATATCTCCTTTTTAAAAATACAAAATTTTAAACCTTAGTTGAATCCGTCCATCGGGTTTGGGCGTCAAAGCAATGAAGAATCTTATTAGGTTCAGAGCTAAGCCTGAAGGTCTGCACAAGCAACCGACCCCATGAAGTATTGCATAAAGACGAAGCCTCAAAGAACATAACACTAAAATGGATACGGGGCGTTAGAAACTAGAAAGAAAAAAACAAAAATGCATTTGTGATGTTTTCGTTGTTGACCGCTAAACCCCTTCCAATATAGAAATTGATGTTAAATCACCAGTAAAACTAGAAATTGATGTTTTCGTTGTTGACATCATTTCTGCAATTGTGCTACCATACCACATTCATTGGTTTGCTGCAAGTTGGGCAGAAATGATACGGGGTGAAATGGCAGAGTTTTGGCCTTTCACCTGTCACATACTCGCATGCCGGTAACCTTCAAAACCTATATGTATTGTCAGATACGTATTGATACTTTAAACCTTAATTACAGGTAAATCTTCCGAGTCATTTTGGTTACATTTGGTTTGCTAGTAGGCTAATGATGAATTGGTTTCAGTTATAAGTTTCTTTTACTTATCCTAGTTTACTTACATTATTGTATAGACGGGAAACCAAATGTACTTTATGACAAAGTTACTATTTTGACAAATCAAAGTCATCAAAATATAAGCCACCCCCAGCCAATTAGAATCATGGTACCAAACAAGATTCAAAACTTAAAAGGAAAAGGAAAAGGGAAAAACTTAACTATATATATCTGCTAAATTTGTTCACTTAGTGCCACAAGGCTAATTTCTCAGTCAAAACAAAACAAAATTTGACTACTGCTTGACATTTCACAACCTGAATTACCTCAACTTCTTTCCACTGTAACAAAGGAAATGCATATTAGAAAAGGTACGAGTCAATTCTGTGTGGGGGGGAAACCTTCATACTCGAGTATGGAATCCCACCTAGAGAATTTCTCACTTCTTGGCTTTCTTTGTTACCCTGCATAAGATTACAGTCATCAATAAGATTCGTTCCACTTGCCTACTTTTGTAAATAACAAATTGGAAGGAGTTTCTTACTCGGCAGGTGCTGCAGGTGCTTTCTCTCCTGGGCCCTGTCACACAGGTTAAAATATTCTATTATTAGAAAATTTGGTAAATAGTTTAAAGGTTGGAAATTGTCTCATTTCATGTATCCTCTGTAATGTCAACAAGTTTATGATGCTAAATCAGTAACAGTGATGCTTGAGTTTTGTTATACTTGATCCAAATCCAGAGAGCTTATGTTTAAACCACCCAGCCCTACTGGTATTTCCTACATCAATTAGACAAACTTTTTTGACCTAGTGTAGCAAAATCATTATTTTATTCTGCTATAAAAGTCAGCTTCTTTCATTTACAAGAATGGTGCCTTGAGCATTTTAACCATCTGTTGTCCATTCCATTCAGCCCTTAGAGGACTGATTTTAACTGGACCTCAAACTAAATTGTTTCAACATTGTAAAATTGTAATATAAACAATACCAATTAAAAAAGAGCATTTATAACATAAAAACCGAAAAGTGTGGCTTTACTGCAATGCAACAAAAATAAAGAATTGTACTAGAACTGCTGAAGGCTTTCTCAGTAGCTTTGAAGAAATCAATACACACACACATAAACATTTCCTGATAGAACTTGCCAAATTTGCAATCTACAATAGAAGCCTAGAAGGCATATCTCACCTGTGCCAAACGCTCTTCCCTCCTAGCAAGCTTCCTCTCTCTACTAGCTTTATTCTTAGCTCGCTTTGCTTCAAACTGGTCAGACAATGTCTTCTCTCTTGCCTTTTCAGCTTTGGATTTGTGAATACTCTCCATCAACACTCTCTTGTTCTTAAACACATTACCTTTCACCTTCATGTACATGTCATGGTACATGTGCTTGTCAATCTTCTTTGCTTCTCGGTATTTGCGCAGCAAGCGCCTCAAGACCCGCATCCTCCTCATCCAGAGAATTTTAGTGGGCAGCCTTGCCTCCCTTGTACCTTTGCGCTTACCTGCAATCATTTCAAAGAAGTTTAAAGTTCCACACCATCATGGAAACAAATTCTCATTGTAAAAGACAGATTTGTCAACTTATGGACATCCATCTTTTCAGGCCTCATAAGCTAGAAATGTTAGGTAGGTTCCTTAGATTTTTTTTATCAGTGTAGGTTCCTTAGATTTATAAAATATCCAAAAGGATGGCCAATTAAAGTCAAATAAATCAGCAATGTGGGAAAACTGAGAAGCATTGCATTACATGTCTTTCAAAAGAATTAGTCCATTTTTCCCCTTGACTTATTAGTTATTTGACAAGTAGGTGACCAGATGTTTCATCCAAACAACTGGTTTGCATGAGTCAAGCTTTTACGACCTCTTGAATGAAAACCATCTCCCTTTTAAGTTAAAAAAATCATTATGTAAATTGATCATATATAACTGACTGCATACCATATCCAGAGTGGCGTCCCTTCCTTTTAGCTTCCTTCATGCGGCGTGCCCGAGACCGAGAGTGGATCTTTGTTGGCTTCCTTATTATGAAGCCATCCTTAACCAGCTTTCTTATATTTTGTCCTGCAGTGCATAATACAATAAGCCCCACCTAAATGAAAGGAACAAACATAATCAATGCCCCCCAAAACCCATTGTTTACCTTAGGAAAAAAAACTATAGAAGGTAAAATACATAAGGTGATTAATAACAAGCAAACATATTTAGCAAAGCCAGGAACAAGATATATTAGCCAATGGCCTGTTAAACAGATTCTTCTCAATCTTTCTGTTTCTGCATTGAAATTCAATTAAGCTTATGATCATTGCTCCATAAAAGAAGGGACTTGATTTAAGTGGGTTTTAAGGCTTAAGACTTTAAGATGATAATGGCCATAAGCAAGACCAAATAAAAGATATATTAGCCAATAGCAAACATATTTAGCAAAGCCAGGAACAAGATATATTAGCCAATAGCCTGTTAAACAGATCCTTCTCAATCTTTCTGCATCGCAATTCAATTAAGCTTATGATCATTGCTCCATAAAAGGGACTTGATTTAAGTGGGTTTTAAGGTTTAAGACTTTAAGGTGATAATGGCCATAAACAAGATCAAATAAACCCCGCCCAATCATCACCAAACCAGACAGAATTGTATCGTAACTGGACTGGTCATATGCATGACAGCATGAGGTGAACTCATGTTTCTTTCTCCAGCCCTACTCGGGCAAATTATCTTGAAAAATAAAAGGAGAATAAGTCGCCCAAGAATTTTCTTTGAGCTTGAAGATAAAATTTGATCAAACATATAATCTCATAAACCCTAAACCCCAAATCGGAAACTAAAATACCTAAACCCTAAAACGACGCAAATAGGTGAAAACAAAGAAATCCATATACAGAAATTGACTACCGGATTCAACGAACCCCTAGGAACCAGGAAGAGCTCCATATAAAAAATATTCTATCTTCAAATCAGAGGTTTAGACTATGATCACTTCAATCGGTTTTGTTTTCAATAGATCACGACTTCAACTTTTCTTTCTCAATGACCCAATACAGCTAATTGAAAATGCGAATATCGGAGAGTTCCTATTTTCGGATCAGACATCAAAACTAGAAGAAGAAGATAAACAAAAAAAACGTCACAGAGAGAAGGAGCGAGATCCTTACTGGAATTGGCCATGGAGATCTCGTTAACTTCATTGGGGTCGAGCCACACCTTTCCTCTTCCGCACTTGAGAACACTTGCAGAGAGCCGCTTCTGAAGCTTCAACGACACCATGGTCTCGTTTCTCCCAACTCTCCGTGATTCCCTCCAGTCACTCGCGCCGCTGCTGTTCCAGAAAAGAAGAAACAAGCAGCTAACAAGAGTATGGATTTTATAGCCCCGATTACTCCTAAAGTGTAAATATTTTGATTTTTTTTTGTGTGTATTCGATTTTTCTACCGTTAGATTACAACTATGTTGGCGATTGATGACAAGATAAAAAAAGGATAGGTGCATCTAAATTCGTCCGTCCGGACTCTACAATCACTTCTCAATGATCCGAACACACCATACAAACAAAACATAAACAGAACAAAGTCAAACCGACCGAATTAGATCGACCCAAACACCAAAGGGGAGTGTGGGCTGGACTTAGCCCAGGCCCAGCCCGAAAAGGTCTGATAAGGCCCAAAAATGGTGTAGCCTGATGAACCCAACATGAGCCCATTAGAGAGGGTGGAGGGTCAACAATCCAACTGGAAGCCCATTAGGTGCAATGCTAAGTTGCTAAGTTGCTAACAAGTAACAACCACCAGGCAAAAGTTGAATTTGATTCAGCGGGTTCTTTGGATTGGTGCTCATGTTAGTTCCATTTTCGAAGGCCAATTTTGGAATGGACCAATAAGAGAGCTTAACATCAATTTTCTGTTTGGTTGAGATTGTTTTGAGTTAAAACAATCATAAAATGTTTCTACTAAAATCATAAGCCGGAGAGTCCAGATCTGCTATTCACACCTTGCGCCTCAGATGCATATCCTACCATGCATTGAGAACATCTCCGGTAGTTATTAATTATTATTGATGGGAGATGTTTAAAATGCACCGTGGATATGCATGTGAGGCGCGAGGAGATCCCGTCTCTTTGGGTGAAACATTGAATTAATTGCATGTATACATCCCACATCGAAGTTGCCAACTTACAACCTAGTTCATAAGATCTCTGGCTAGCTGGAGCAAAGACTTGAAGATCATTCCCTCCCTTCACCAGGGTTGAAGGGGAGGGGCCTTGAGAGTTTGGGTTTGGGCTTGAATTTGCTACCCACAATGCACATCACAGCTACGCATTGGGAATATCTCCCTTTTCATTCATAGGGAACTATTCTCAATTCATGGCGGTGGTGTTCCATGGATAGAGATGTGAGAACATTTTGTGGGTAATAAATCCAGAGTATTAGGTTTGGGCCATTGGGGGATTGGCTACCACCGAAGGGTAGCCACATGTGTGGCTACGACAGATTAGAGTCCAGGTTAGTTCCACATAGAACACACCCCACATGTGTTCCATTGAGCCAGTTTCTTCCTAGCTCCGTCTGGCCTATGTGTGGGGTCCACTTGAATAGCCTATATAGGGACGACAATTTTTCCCATTTCTCCGATTCCCATGGAGATCCGCCCCGAATGGGGCAGGGATGGAGATGATTTCCCCCCCTTAGGGACGAGGATCGGGAAATTTTCATCCCCATTAGCGGGGATGGGAGCGGGGACGGGGAG